TGGGTGGGTGGTGAATAAATGAACAAATAAGTGGATGGATGGTCTTTGATAGATGTAGTTTGTTGCTGGTTGGTCTGCCTTTAGAATTTGCAGTTGCCCAGATTCTAGCACAGCAGCAGCGTATTGTTGAGCTGGGGTTTGTGGCGGTGGCGGTACTAGGTCCTGTCACGTAACTGTTCTCACATAGTGGTGAGCCAGTGGCCGCTCTCGCCCATGAGGGTCTGTCTCTCTGTGCTGGCGGCTTCTGGTCGGCGCCTATGGACACAGTCCCCGGAGGGGGCTTGTTTAGTCATGATGTCAGGAGGCCTTGGAGAGACCGTGGGTTAGAGACCCTGAGTCAGCAGCCGTTCCCACCTGTCCCTTTGGACAAGGCGTGACCTTCCTCAGACTGTGTGTGAGAACTCTCATGAGGTGGCACTGTCCTAGTTTGGGGATGGAGGGCTTTGTGGCTGCCTGGCTGGGGGCCCAGGGGCGTAGGAGGTTTGGAACTCGGGACTGTCCACCCCCACGCTTGACCCTCCCTCTCTCATGGGTCCCTTCTCCCATCTGCAGATCTCACCTTGCAAACGGGGTGGGCCAGAAAGCTTCAACCACCCATGCGCTAACCGTCATTGAGGGACAGGTTTGGCCTGGTACCCCGAGATCTAACCCCCGCCGCAGATCAGATGCTGGGGGAGGCCCCAGGTATGAGGGGCACAGGTGCTGGGTGAGGCCCCCAGGTGTGAGGGGCACAGGTGCTGGGTGAGGCCCCAGGTTCAGGGGCACAAACGCTGGCTCTGGTCTTGCAGTCTCCATGCCTTCAGGTCTGAGGGGAGACAGGGAATGCACGTGGGAGTGGGTTGTGGAGACCTGCTGGGTGAGCTGGGCCCTGGTGGAGACTGGCAGTGCCCATGGCCTAACCCCCCTCTTGGTTAACGATGAGCTCCCCCGCCGTCCACACCGGTCATCACGCCAGACACTCCCAGTCCTGGTCAGACATGAGTGGCCCCGCTCTGCATAGCGTAGACTTCGGAGGATCCAGATGAGGAAAACATGAGGGTGTTGCGTCCTCCGCCGCTGCACCTGTGGGGGTAGGATGGGGTGACCGTGCTAGAGCTGCCAGGCTCACCTGCTTACTGGCACCTGGGTTCTGCGTTAAGAGAGCAGCTCATCCTAGAAGAGTGGCCGCTGGGAGGCCAGGGGGGCTGTCCAGGGGAGAGGCGATGGGGCTAGAGCTCCCTCGCCATGTCCAGGTGGCTCTGTAAGTCTGGAGACAGGGCCTGGGACAGTGGTCAGTGGGGAGTCGCCTATGGCTGGGTGGTGTTTAGAGCTGTGACCACTGCCTGGGATCCCCTCGGGGGGAGGGGGAAGGGGGGAGGGCTGAGGCCGAGCACTGGGGCACGTCAGTGCTTTGAGGTCCAGTGGACGAGGGGCTGGAGGGGAGAGGGTGTCCTGGATGCCAAGCAAAGAAGGGACCTCGAGAAGGACAGAGTGATGCCAGGTCGAGTGTGCTGACAGCTAACTGTCCGTCAACTTTGGCAACAGGGTCATCACTGGAGGCCTTGGTACGAGTCACCTGGGTGGGGGGGACGGTCGAAAGCCTGACTGGGCGGCTGGTTCAGAGAGGGGCAGGAAGCAGGGGGGGGGGGGTTTGTTTCCTGGGGCGCTGGAACTAATGACCACCAGCTGGGCGGCTTAAACACTGGAAATGTATTCCCTCCCGCTCTGGAGGCCAGGTGTTGGCAGACCAGTTCCTTCCGGGGAGACTGTGCATGCCCCCCTCCTGCTTCCGCTGGCTGCCAGCACTCCTTGGCTTACAGACGCATCCTTCTCAGCCCCCTTAGTCGCGTGGCCTTCTCCTCTGTGCCTCTCCTCTTCTTGTAAGGACACCAGCCATGGGATCCAGGGTCAGCCTGCTCCCGTGTGACCTCATCTTAACTAAGGACACAAAGATCCTCTTTCCAATAGGGTCACGTTCTGAGGTCCCAGATGGCCCTGAATTTGGGGGGAGGCACTAGCCCACTGTCTGCAGATGTGGAGACAGCGAATCTAGACCACTCCCACAAGGCCTTCTCCTTCTTACGCCACTGCCTGGAGGGAGGTGAAACAGCCCGGGGCTCAGAGGGTGGGGTGCCCATCAGGTGAGGTCACAGGGTGCCTGAGTCCCCTGCCCAGAAAGGAGGAATGTCGCAGCCAGATTGGATCTGTGGTCCCCCAGGGAGCAGGGTGTGCAGGTAGAAGCTCTGGTCAGGCCTGGACTGGGCTTTGCTCTCAAAGCCATGGAGGTGGTCCTTCCTGATCCAGTACTGCTCCCTGGGACACCTGGGAACTCGTCTGCACCCCCCTTCCCCGCCTCACGCCTCCCAGCCGCCAGGTCCTCACCCCAGCAGGGAGCAGCTGTGTGCAGAGCAGGTTGGCCAAAGTCTCTGCGTGCGCACCCTCCCCTGCACACACCATGCGGACCCTTCCCAACAGAGTCCCCGCCCTGCGCTGGGCCAAAGGCAGCAAGTTATCAGTGTGTCCCTGTGTGACCTTCCCCACCCCCATCCAGGCAGCTCTGACCACAGGCCGCTGGCTCTGACTCCTCCTCGGTGCTTGAGACCTCCAGGGCTGAGGTTGCGACCAGAGGGGCTGGGTGTCACTTGCTCTCTCCTGGGAAGCAGGGTGGAGATGGCCATTATAGTGGGGCGACTGAGCCCTGCTCAGGCCCAGCACTGCCTGCCCTGCCACCCTCCCTGTAGAGGCAGAAGGAGAAGGCCTATTTGCAAGCAGCAGACCACTGTCACCCAAGGGGGAGTCCCCTCTGCCCCCACTGGGAGCAGACGCCTCCACTACGGAGGCATTTCCTGTGAGTTAGACACTTTCAGGTTCTCCCTTTTACGTCTCCCAGGTCAGCGTGGTGCGGTTTGGTGTGATTGTCGGTTCAGCCGGGTCTTAGCTCATTTCTCCGGGAGCCTTTCGCCTGGGGGACCTCCTCCTGTTTCCTCCTGGTGCTCGCCCGATGGGGGGCCCTTCCTGCACCCCCATTCCAGCTGGGTCTAGGGACGATCCTCTCTGGGGGGGACTGACCACCCCGCCCTGCAGGGGCTTCTTCTGGGGGAAAAAGCTGGTGAGGGACAGAGATGCTCCAGACGCCCTGCCTCCTCAGGGACAATGGGCTCTCAGAGTCAAGGGGCCGGGCCCCAGGGTGCCCACGTTACCCGGCCAGGTGCCAGGCGTCCTTCCCAGTTGGCAACCACGAGGGGTTCGTGTTGCGTTTTGCTGCTTTTTTGTAAGAACTGCATGTAAGGGGATGTGCACACATATCCCGGGAGGGCAGTCCCACCAGGGCGTTCCAGAATCCATCTCACGGAGCATTTTCCCTGCCGCCGCTGCTGCTGCCAGGAGTGAGGCCAGGCCTGTGACGGAGCGGAGAAGGTGAGGGTGGGGATGTCGCCGAATCCGGGCACTTCCAAAGCTTATTCATTTAGCCATGAACTAGACACAGCGTGGGCTCTGGGGTGCGAGTTGTGTTGCAATCTCCTTGGACTTGGAGAGCCGCAGGCTGCGGTGCGGGGCCGAGCATGGTCCCGCGGGCCCCCAGGTAACCGCTTCTCTGAGAAACGCGGAAGCTGGCACATGGACGCCCCAGTTCCTCAACCTTCTGCTCCCATAAATAGCGCCTGATTCACTTCCTGATTCCTGAGCTGTGACCTGGCACCCCCCCCCCCTCTCATTCATATAAACTATGCAAATGAGCGAGCCGCCAGTTTCTGGAGATGGGACAGTGGGCCGGACTCACCAATAGCTCTGCCTCCTCTGTTGGGAACTTCCCCGGTGGAACCCAGTGGGCACCCAGCTTTGTCGGTGGAGCTGGGTACAGCCCCCAGGGAGAAGTATTGGGGGTGGGGGGCTTCTTGGGTCCTGTTTGCAACCAACCAAGACCATGAGACAGACGTTTTCCATAGCACAGTGCCCACGTCTGTTTCGGTGGCTGGTGCATTCTCGGCCTTTGAAAAGCAACCGGACTGTGCCCCGTGCCTCACTGTTTGTCTCCTTCCTGCGAAATCGTCCGGGGAGGGTGACCTCTGTGTGTACTTGAGGCTCCGGGACTAGCCCCATGCATGGGACGCCTGGGTGATGGGTCCTATTTTCAGCTCATAATGCATCCCAGCAGCTGTCAGCTGCCACTCCTGCAGCCCATCGTGGAAGAGGTGGCATGTCTGAAGGACACTTGCTTCTGGTCGCACGAACCCTCCCTAACTGGGCTATTCACTGTGGCCCAAAGGTGGTCGGTCAGGCAGGGGAAGCGGCCCCCGCCCCCTCACACACACACACCCCACAGCTGCTTTTGGAGGGAGCCGTCGGGCCTTGCCCCTTTGGGTGAGCTACAAAGAGCTGCTGGGAGCTTTCGCTTCACGTTGGTGCAGAGAGAGCCGCACTTCACCAGTAGAGTTTCATGGGCTGGTGTATTTCCATCTTCTAGCCTTTGGCTCTCAGACCTGGGGCCCCATCTGCTTCCCCATCTGTCAGATGGGGACCACAGCCCCACCCGGCACACGCCAGGAGCCCCACAAGCCTCGGCTGCCACTGGTGCTGTGAGGATAACCACCCAAAATGGGGCAGCTGGAGGCTGGCTGGTGCAGGCCCGCTGTGTACAAGTGTCTCTTCGTAAGGGGATAGTGAGTTGACCTGACACTCACTAATCCAAGAGAGTGTGATGGGAGCTCCCTTCCAGGCCTCACTCCACAGCCCGGCAGGGCTCCCGGTGCCTCCTCAGTGCCTTCGGCCACCAGGGGAAGCCCCTCTGCTCCCCGTGGGGGCTGAGCCAGGTCATGAGGAGGAGGGACTGGGGAAGATGTAAGAGAGCCCCTGGGTGGGGCAGAGGAAGCACCTCCCAACTCCCCCACTCGGCCCAGTGGAAGGGCTGCTCCCCAACAGCAGGTCCAGGGTGGGAC